TTTCACCCTTAATCGTAAATCAATAATCTCAGTATACCTCCTTGAATCAGTGTAAACACAAAACCTTTCAGTCAAGTCTGGCCACCCAATCAGCTTAATTAGTAACTAGTACAATAAATACTTCTTGGCAAGCACTGGTAAACTTTCTTCAGTGTGAAGTGTTTATGTTACACATCTTGTTAAGTGTGATAGATGTGACAATCAAAGCAGGTTGGCAGGAAGGAAATGACTAATGCTCTACTTAGTTTATTTTTGACTACAAAAGTACAAATATTTATATCTTGTTGAAAACAGTTAACTCAAAACATTCCACAAAAATGTTGTCTGATAATTACAATATAATTTTCACTGCCTTATAACCCTCATCCTCAAATCCCTTAGACATGATAACATTGGTAAGGTATACAGAGAATTGTGCCGCCGAGTGTTTAAATAGTGGTTTCACTTCTAAATAATTACTGGTGCACTGGTTACTAAGTGCAGCTCTAAACAACAGTTCATGTTATTATTCATGTTATTATTAGACTGTAAGACTGGACGACATGGACAAACTCTTCTTTCACTTTTGAGATTTTAATTGCAATGTAACGTGTCATATGTAATGTAGTATTGTACATTTTCGTTTACTATAATAACCCTCCGGGAACGTGCGGTTTTGGCTTATTTAGCTGAATCAAATACTCTGGCCTAATACAACGAGGGATAAAAAAGCTACATCAAAATGAATGGCATAGCAAAATCGCTAATGTCTTTTTATGCCATATTGTCCAACCCTATTACACTGTAAACATTATTCTCAATACTTGTGACCATTACACCATAAATCAACACTAAATAAAGGTCTGGTGCATGTTGACACTGACCTGTGAATGTGGTCAACATACCCCATCTATACTTTTAAACATATCTTTACTCCCAACCAGTGAACCACTGTAAGATCTCCACAAACTTTGGGACTATATACTGTAAAACATCCCTGTTACAAGCCAAATTACATAGATAGCGTAGAATCAATACTTTTCACCTGGTCAGCTCAAACTTGTGTTAGGTTAAGAAACAATGCAAACCTGTGTGTGTAATGACACAATACTCACCATGCTTTATGAAAGTCAGGAGGCCGACATAGACGAGGACTTTACACTGCATGACCAGGCTTGTCTTGAGACCAACTTCTTATCTTCGGGCCCTTTTGCTGTCTTATATAGAGCTATGAGGTGACAGTGGGCGGGTTTGTCCCGCCAGATGGGAAATAAGAAATATTGTCCCTGGGCCTCAGAGGAGTGAAAGGAGGCCCTTGATATGTGTATGTCCTCCTAAATAAGCGAGCCCTAGAGGACTGATAGAGCGAGAGGGAGAAGGAGGGAGATGTGCAGGGACACACAAGTGGGCAAACTTAAAATTCAGAAGGGCCTCTGGCCAAGGTTTTGGGGCTACTTTACATTGGTGCAGTGTTGCTATGAACAAACGGAGAGGGTGATCACGCTGAGCTTATGTGGGCAAACACTCAGGCAAGACTACAACTCTTTTCTATCTGGGGAAAAGTTAGTGTTGTGTTGCATGTGAAGAAAAAGAGGATAAAAACAGGAGAATGGTTGTTTCTTCCCCCTCGCTATACAGGCACTCTATCTGAGCTCCTGCTATGATTGCTCCCTTTGATTGAAGTTAATATTTAGCCAGAACAAGTGCTTGATGTTTACAGGAAAAGGTGTTGTCTGTTTTATCTCCCTGGGAATATTCATTTGCACTTTAGTTGCTCTTAAAACACATCATTCAGTGAACAATGGTTAATATCTCTGTGTCTCTGAGTTGAAGTGTTGTCTCTCACTGTTTTCTTTTCTCTTGTTCCCTCTCTGTTATACTTTGCTTTAGGTAGAAACAAAAGTAAGTCTTAAAATGATTACAAGAAGTGATTAATGTGTTCCATTTGCCTGTTTGTGTTTGGTACTTTGTCCTCACGACTCTATGATTTCAATGTCATGTTTTCTCTTCTTTCTTTTCCTGACAGTCTCATTCCTTTCATCTGGTTGAAAGATTGAGTGCACTTCAGGTTGGTTGGAGAAGAGGAGGGGCATGAGGGTTTGATGGAGGACACACCAGCTTATGAAAGGAGTGAAGTAACTCAACTATTGTGAAGATGTTTTCATGATTGTCATGCTTAAAATCAATATGAGTAATAAGAAAAGTGCCATCGGCGTCCAAATGCATATATTTCTTCTTTCTTTGTTTTACTTAAGGTTGAAGGTAGCAATATCTACACACAAACATTGCTGGATTTTGTGCTTGATAGTCAGAAATATGACAAAAATGTATATGATTTGAATACTGTGAGATTAGATAAGCTTGTCCTGTACATTTTGTACTGTATAAATTATCAAGGTGAACTAGGCTGCAGTGTTACACTAGTCATTGAAATAGGAGGTTTATCCTAGCATTGTATTTTTTAGGATTTTTGTGGACTTATTCATAATAAATATATAATGCTTCATTTGTTGTTTTTTCGAGTCTGACCTTTAAATGAAGGTGTGGTGAAATGTTCTGCATCTTACTTTTAAGATTAAGATTTTGTTAAGTGGTTAGACTTCTTTGCTGGAATATTCAGTTAAAATGAAAGCAGTCAAACTAACAGGGTGGGGCACCAAACCAATTATTGTACCTATAACCTTAATCGAAAAGATGCCATTGTTCTTACACACGTAATTAAAATAACCTTTTGACACCTTTAAGCTTACAATGATTAATGTATCATGCAGCTACCTCTACTTAAAGAACAAAGCTGATTTATACAGATATGGAAATAGTCGTAGTTGATATGAGTGTGGTATAAATCTTCTTTTACAGAACTAAATTTTCTTTAGCTGAGTAAATCTCTTATGGAAGATGTTTGCATTAATTGCATTAGTGATAGCAACTGAATGTTGTAGGTTGAATGTTCTTTTGAAAGTGTCTGAAACAGAGGTGTGGATGTTTGTTATCAACACTTTGGTAGGTATTTCAGGCCAGCAGCCAACGCAGCTATGACACCAGCAACAGCAGGAAATGTGTGTGTTATATGAACGTGTGAGGGGGGTGCTGTGATCTGGGTGTAAAACTATCGTCTGTACCAAACAGCAGGTGTTCTGCTTAGGCGGTCTATTCAGGAAGCACAGAATAATATTTTATGGCCAAAGATGTGTAACCTGGCTCCCTGAGCAATGAAAAAAAATTCAACAATTAGTGTTTTGTGATTAGTCTGTCCTTTTTCTTATTTTTTCTTACTGAACATGTACAGAAAACCAAAAGATGCTATCTGTCTTATTAAAGTTTACTTTACTTATCACTTTTGGGGACCTTACATAGACTTACATTAATTTCTAGACTAGAGACTAAACCTAACCCTTACACTAACCTTAACCAAACTATGTCCACAATTAGACAAGCCGCCCACAATTAACTGGTCTTTAGTCTGAAATGTGTCCCCAGGTATTTCATTGGACTAGAATATTATAAGTTTTATTTTAAGACATTTATTTGACAACTTTAGTCACTAGAATACAGATTCAGACTGTAATGTAGTTTTACACTACCTGACAAAGCCCCACCATTACCAGCTGCAACCTCAAAGTGATGCTTACACACTGATGCGTCAATGGCTATAATCCATTAATGTAATATATATTATTCTGACAGCAGAACACCTTCACTAAGTGTCTCAAATCAAGCATTACTGAACCTTCGGGGAAAGATGTGGAGAACATCTTGACATCCTGTGTCATACTGTAGTACAAGTACCACTGCTACACACAGTCAGGACTTGTATGACAGCATACCAAGAAGTATAAAGGCTGGCTATTTTAAGTATTGTTTTGTAAGACACGAAACAAAGCCACATAGTCATTTCTCTTTTTTTGAATTCTTTTTAAAGATCAAACATCAGTCCAATGCTGTGGGGTCATACAGGACTAGATTCAAAAGGAATGCTGTATGTTGGTATCTCAAAAGAAAGCCTTGAACATTTATTGCAGATAATTTTCCTTTGATACATTAGCTGACATGTGAGCATTGTGTACTAAAGTGCGATCCTTGAGGGATCAAGAAAAACGGGTTTGAGCAGGGAGTGTAGAATATTGTTAATAGTTCATACGTCAAAGGGAAATCAGAAAGGTGCTTACTGAAGGCAAGACGTTGACAGTATGGCAGCCTGGACTGTGTGGACACTCCTGATGTTTACAGCCCTCACTGGGCAAGGTGAGCTTTTGAGTTGCCAGTGTATTATCTACTACGAACCAAGACATTCTCTCTTTGAAATCTTGTGTTTAGTTTTTGTTATCAGTGTTAGAGAGAGTTTTGAACCAACTTTATGGTAATTTCTGAGGATGCAGTGTTACTTGATTGTATTATGTTTAAATATTCGTCTAGAGTTTTATTTTTATTTTGCACACAGTCAAGTATATTAAAATATGATGTGAATATAAGCTTATTAAAGTCAAGGTTTACTGCAGGGCTGTTGTATTGTCCTATCAATTATTGATTTAATTATTTAATTGTGATAATTATCAATAGGGATGTGCGACAATATCGGCCCTCCGATATTAAATGTAATATCGGGAATTATCGGTATCGGGTTTTTGTTTGTTCTGTAGGCTTCAGCATTTCCGAGCCTGCATGAACGCAGCATGGGACGTTTACCGGCGCGCGCTAGATGACGTATAACAACAAGACTGGTTGGTTGCTAACCGTGGCTAACAAGCAAACAATTTAAAGCTGAATGATTTTAATATTAACACAAAATAAGTGCAATGCACCTTAAATATTTTACCCTGCTATGAGCTGTTCCTTAAAACTAACAATTGGCTTAGAATTTACATTAGCAACTCCTTCAGGTGCATAATACAATTAAACACAACAAACACAAAAGCTAGCACTTATCTAGCGATTAGCGTTAGCTGAAAGTTGAAGTTGTTGTCTTATTTTGCACAGACAGTGTTTACATTTGGAAAGCCATGTTGCATTTATGTATGCATCCAGTGGGTAGGGTGGCCATTCGTCCGGCTTTAGGCTGGACAGTCCGGCTTTCATGACATCCCCTAGCGCCGGCTCTGGTGCAGGGGAGTCATCAACATTTTTTCCTAGTTTTTCTCTTTTTTTGCATGAAATGACAAAAAATTACAATTACACATCAATTTTGCTTGCTGCACTTACAGATTTGTCCACACGTGTACAAATATCTTTACACTATCTTTACATATTTACAGATTATTTTACACATTCACAGATCTAATTACTCACACACAGATTGAGATACAGTTACACAACTCTCCACACACATTTTTAAATAGTTTTGCTACAATAATGGCTCCATACAAGACGCCATAGTAACGTAATGCAAGCGCAACACACACTAACAGCTGTACTCACATTATGGGGATAAACCTTGGTGGCCATGGGGCCACCTAAATGGAATTATTTGGTGGCCACAGAGTAACGTTACTCACACAGGCCATTGGGCCATGGTTATTTTCAAACCCTGGTGAAAGTTACAGGCTTTACATGCAGTTTTGCAAATTAAATTAACTCAATAATCTCTTTTCTCTCACCTGCATAAATGCATAAAAGCCTTGGTTGATTAAAAATCTTGGCTTTTCTTCTTGGTTCAGGTTCGTGAGGTGTGCCAGAGTTTTTCCAAAGATGCTCTCAGGTGGCAGATCTATGCTTTGATGGCCCTACAGGAGGTAAGCAGTTGTCTCCACCACAGAGTTAATTGTCATTCTTAGCAGTGCAGACAATTCAGTGGGCAGTATTTACTTGTGGTAAGCATACTCAAAATGGCTCATGCTAGGGCCACACTGCCTGCCTCTACCTATGTGTGACGGCTACATGGCTGAACTGCTGTGGCCTGCATGTGTGTCCACACAGACAGAATTGCGGCTATTGGCAACGATAACTTTCTACTCTGAATTTGCCA